AAAAAAGGAAACAAGAATTGATTTAACTGAAATTTATGTGAAAGACAAACATAATGTGGTATACAATTGTAAAGTAGAAAAGAAATTATACATTACTCAAAATATTTTTTTACAAATAAAAAGCTTTAAAGTGCGGTGTGCAAAAGTATTCACGCCCCTTTTCTCTGAGTGCAACCAACCAGTTTCCTTCAGAAGTTTCCTGATGTCTGCTAATGACTCAACCTGTGTGTAATCTAATCTCAGTAGAAATCCAGCTGCTCTGTGGATTTCAGAGAATATTGGGGAGCAAATGGCATCACAAAGTCCAAGGAACACAGCAGGCAGGTCAGGGAGAAAGCTGTGGAGAGGTTTATAGCAGACTTGGGTTGTAGAAAGATTTCCGAGGTTGAACAAGAAGAGCTCTGATCAGATATGCAGCTAAGAGGCCTATGGTGACTCTGGACCAAATTCAGAGATCCACAGCTCAGAGGAGGAATCTGTCCACAGGGCAACTATTAGTCATCACTGCACAAATGTGATCTTTCTGGAAGAGTGGCAAGAAGAAAAGCATGAGAAGTCCTGCTATCTATCTAATCTGACTGAACTTCAGCTGTTTTGCAAAGAATGGGCAAAACTTTCTGTCACCAGATGAGCAAAGCTGGTGGAGACAAACCCTGAAGACTACCAACTGGAATTGCAGCAAAAGGTGGTTCCATAAAGTATTGACTCAGGGGCTGAATAGTTTTACACTCCATACTTTGTAAAAAAAAAAATGTTTTGAATCATATATAATTTTCTTTCTACCTCACAATTGTATACTCCTTTGTGTTGGTCTTTCACATTAAGTTCCAAAGACATATTTTTGTTTGTGGCTGTAATATGACAAATTATTGAAAGGTTTAAGGGGTATGTCCAATACTTTTGCAAGCCACTGTTCATTTATAGAAATATAAAATAAATCAAGACTGAACTTCCTGCAGCAACTCCAGAAGTCCAACAAAGGAGCTGCTCATCGTCTTCATGGCTGTTTTTCAGAACAGGTCGGGTCCAAACTGCCACAAATGTTTATGTCTGCAGTGAAAATCATCATGGCTGACCTTACATCCGGGACTGCTGCAGGTGTAGAGTCAGGAAAATTGAAGCCAACATCACTCCAGACACACATCCTGGACACAAACTGTTTAGACTTTTACCTTATGCTTATTTACAAAAACAACTGAGTATCAGCTCTGTCTGCTGGTTTACCATTTAATCAGCGTCTTATTAGCATATGGGTCAATCCCTGTGCATATGGTCAGCGACTCCTACTTAACATTGTGTGAATCACAGGCTTTTCATTTTTATCTTCTGACTAACCTGATAATCCACCCTGGGATTGTATCACTCTGACATTTGTATCATCACCATTTCTGTTCATTCCTAATTTCAACATGTCTTTCATCTGTTTCCACCTCAGAGGCACCAACGATCAGCTGTGTCTGGAAAAATGATTCCTGTATAGTCCTCATCACAAGAGATAAAGTCAAAGTGTCTGGTTTCCTTATCAGCTTGGTCAAAATGATGAAGCCAATGCAGCAAAACTCCCATAGGGAATTTCCTGAGGGAGTCTTCCCAAGGGATCAATAAAGTACAAGTCTAAGTCTAAGTCTAGTCATCCAATTTCCTGAACTACAGTTTCTCTAAATTACCAAAAAAAGTGAAATCCAGCTGTCAGTGGGTTATATATGTTTTGGGTGTTTTAGTGGTTATTATAAAGACATTGTTGAGTCAGAAGTCTTGTTTACTGTCCACTAAGAAGTCTTCCCTATTATTGACTCTGATTATAAACTTTTTGTCAACTGACTTGTTAATGAAACCCCAAACAGATCTTCCACCAGACAGGATGATGGGTTCCTACAGATGTACAGGAAAAAGCAGCAATAGTTAAGACATATGAACCAAGTGGACGGTGCTAATTTCATAAAAGGTTTTTATTGATAATGCTAGACACACCGAGCAGAGATTTGTGGCTATTTCTTTAAGAGATTTCTTAAAACATTAAATAAAAGAAAACAAACATTAACATCAAACTGCACCCAGTTATCTTGGGATAACTGTACAGGTACAGTTTTCTTGTACCTTGTTAATCTTATTAATAGAAAAAATTCAATAATTAATAAAAATCAATTATTTCAAAAAAGTAATCTAGCCTTGTTGGTAACATTATTATTTTGTTATTTTCAATTGGACAAAAACCTTTCTTGCTTTTCTCCACAAATAATATATATATATATATATATATATATATATATATATATATACACACACACACACACACCCACACCCACACACACACACACACACACACAAAATAATTTGTATTATTTTGTGAAGAATCAACAAGTGGGACACAATCTTGAGGTGGAGCAACATTTCTTGGCTATTTTAATCTTTTTTAATAAATAAAAAACTGCAAAGTGGGGCGTGCAATATTACTGGGCCCTTTAACTGTCAGCAAACTCACTCCAGAAGTTCAGTGAGGATCTCTGAATGATCCAATGTTGTCCTAAGTAATTGACAGAGCAGGTGAATTTACATGGGACTTCATTACACACAGGTGGATTGTATTCAAGTCCCATGTAAATTCACCTGCTCTGTGATGTTCTCAGGTTGTGTTAAAAGCGCAAAGAGCATCATGAAGACCAAGGAACACACCAGGCAGCTCCCAGATACTGTGGTGGAGAAGTTTGAAGCAGGATTTGGATACAAAAATATTTCCCAAGCTTTACATCTCAAGGAGCACTGAGCAAGCAATCATATTGAAATGAGCAAGCAATCATATTGAAATGGAAGGAGTATCAAACTACTGCAAATCTACCAAGACCTGGCCATCCCTCTAAACTTCCATCTGGAATAAGGAGAAAACTGATCAGAGATGCAGCCAAGAGGCCCATGATCACTCTGGATGAACAGTAGAGATCTACAGCTGAGGTGGAAGAGTCTGTCCACAGGACAGCTATCAGTCATACACTGCACAAATCTGGCCTTTATAGAAGAGTGGCAAGAAGAAAACCATTTCCCAAAGATATGCATAAAAAGTCTTGTTTAAAGTTTGCCACAAGCCCCTGAGAGACACACCAAACGTGTGGAAGAAGGTGCTAAAATCCAATGTTTTGGCCTCAATGAAAAACAATATGTTGGCATAATAGCAACAGAGCTCATAATCCTGAACACACCATCCCCACTTCCAAACTTGGCCGCAGTAGCATCATGGTTTGGGCCTGCTTTCTTCCGCAGGGACAGGGAAGATGGATGGAGCCAAACACAGGACCATTCTGGAAGAAAACCTGGTGGAGTCTGCAGAAGACCTGAGATTTATCTTCTAGCAAGACAATGATCCCAAACATAAAGCAAAACCGTTTTGCTTTATGGAATGGTACACAAATAAAGGTATCCAGGTGTTAGAATGGCCAAGTCAAAGTCCAGACCTGAATCCAATGGTGAATCTGCAGAAAGAGCTGAAAACTGTTGTTCACAAGTCCTCTCCATCCAACCTCACTGAGCTCCAGCTGTTTTCCAAGGAAGAATGGGCAAACATTTCAGTCTCTTAATGTGCAAAACTGTATTAACTTAAGGGGCTGAATAATATTGCGCTCCCCACTTTGCAGCTTATTTGTTAGGAAAGTTTAAAATACTCAATAAATTTCATTCCACCTCATGATTGTTGTTGATTCTTCACAAATGAATAATAAAATAATTTTAGATCTTTTTGTTTGAAGCCCGAAAAACTGCAAAAGGTTGAAAAGTTAAAGGGGGCCGAATATTTTCGCAAGGCACTGTTTCTGTCTGTCTATTTATCTGTCTGTCTATAGCATACCTGGATGAACCTCTAAATCATGTCTTGTAATAAAAGGGTGCGTGTTATTTTTCTTATTTTTATGTGTATGAATAGGCCAGATTTATATCAATTAGACTATGCAGTTTCTCACTGGTAACAATTGTTGCAGGCTATTAAACCTACATTTTCAATAACCTAACCAACATAAAATTTAATAATTCCTAAATAGTATGTGTTGGGAACGTCTAAGGATTTAAATGCATGCAGATATTGTGCACAAAAATAAATTTGGATAAAACAGGTGAAACATACCCCAGAGTTCTACTGTTTTTGTTCGATTTGATTTCACCAATCATCATTATTCAGGATTTTCTTCCAGCCACATTTCTTCTTCAATGACAATGGATCCCCACAATCCTAACAGTTTTTAATAACGTGTTGGATACTTCTTAACCCGATTTTAGTAGTTTTTGTAATCTCCTTCTCTGCTTGATGCATGCCACTGATTTGACCCCTCTCAAACAGACTGACATCTTTTCTACAACCATAAGATCCTTAATGTTATGGTTAAGGATAACATTAAGGATGCTCTGTGATTAATATGAGTTGTTTCTTTAGAAATGAGAAGCAACTCACTGCAGCAGTTACGGTTAAATAATTTGTTGCCAGTTGAAATATAATTGCCTATGCAGTAATTATCCAGTAGGTAGGCTCATACCCATTTGCTGGGTTAATTTTTATTTTGGCCAGTCAGCATATAAATTGTTTTGTGTGTGTGTGATTGTGTGTGTTGTCCTTACTGAACATATAGTGGTTATTGTTTCTGTTGACCTTGCCACAGAACCTCACTCTGTTAGCAGCTTTAAGGGATGAAATAAAACTGTGATAATTCTCCTAAAAAAGTGGATGTTCGGTCAGTATCTCCATGTCATATTGACCAGATCCCTGGAAAACACAGAAGCACAGAAGTAGAACGTTCTGTGCCTGTTATTGTTGTAGATCTGTCTCACCACTCCCCCTGGTGGTTGAAAAACAAAGGAAAGGGTTTTTCATTGAGTAGTATTTACAAGCCCCACAGAGTCTTTAGTTCATTAGTTCAACTTTCTGTGTCCCTTTGACTGCTACAACTTAGTATCTACATGGAATGAATGAAGGCAAGTATTCCTTATTGGTGTAACATACTGCTTTATTTTATTTTTTGCAGTGACAGATGATGATACAGTCAAGAGGTATTATGCCAAGTTTGAGGAGAAGTTTTTCCAGACTTGTGAGAAAGAGCTGGCCAAAATCAATACCTTCTATTCTGGTAATTCCAGCAGTATAGTACTATGAGGCACAACTTCTTTCTACATCTCTAAGTCACTTTCGTTTCCTTTCCAACAGAAAAGCTGGCCGAGGCTCAGCGACGATTCGCCACGCTGCAGAACGAGCTGCAGTCATCGCTGGATGCCCAGAGGGAGAGCTCTGCCACCGGGCTGGGCCTCAGAAGAAGGAAAACTGTGTTCGCCCTTTCACAGAAGGAGAGATGCAAACATAGAAACATTAAGGATCTGCAGCTGGCCTTCTCCGAGTTCTACCTCAGTCTTATACTGCTGCAGAATTATCAGGTAATCATAAGAGAATTTATGTACTGACAAGTTCAAATATCAGCACATTACAATGGCTCTTTTCAGGTTTTATTGGAGAATTTTAATCTGTAATAAATTTTGGAATAAGGACGTGGCACAGTGCCTAAGGATTGTTCGCTCTCAGCATATGCCACTGGCAGCCTTTCTGTGAGCAGTTTCCATGTTCTCCCTGTGCAGGGAGGTATAGTCATCTCACTACCACAACGTTTAATTAGCCACTCTGAAGTTTCTCTTACTGTATGTAAGTAGTTCTCTTGCTGCGTTCCAGTTATCTGGGAAGTGTGAACTCAGTGCTGGGTTTGACATCAGACCCAAAGTAACAGAATTCTAGTTAAGAAGTCGTAACTTTATCATGGCGACAACGACTATAGACATTGTTCACTGAGGGTAGATGGAGTTGCTTCCTGGCTCTCAGTGGGAAATCTGACTTCAGAGGATGTTAAAGATGATTTTTCAGATTGGGAAGTCAGAATTTCCCAGTTCCAACCACAACTGGAATGCAGCATCTGTACCTGTTATGTCTACCCTGTTAATAGATGGAGGCACTGGTGCTGCCCTGTGGGTAATAGATCTGATGGATGGACAAGGAGTGGTGTTAAATTGCAGTCACAATTTAGGAAGCTATGCTAACATTATGTGTCACCTGTGTCTACTGACCTGCTGTTGGTGGGCTTCACTGACTCACTGACTTCCCTTCATTTCCTGTCAGAACTTGAACTTCACAGGATTCAGGAAGATTCTCAAGAAGCATGACAAGATTCTGGAAACTTCCAAAGGGGCAGATTGGAGGGTGGCCCATGTTGAAGTGGCTCCCTTTTATACATGCAAGAAGATCACTCAGCTCATCTCTGAGACTGAGGTGAAAGTCACACACACCACAGAGTTAACTAGAAATTTAAATAGTCATGTGTAAAAATAGTTTTAATAGAACAATGGTCTCTTATGTTTTGGTCTGTGCTCACATAGGCTCTGGTCACAACTGAGCTGGAAGGCGGCGACCGGCAGAAGGCCATGAAGAGGCTGAGAGTTCCTCCACTGGGAGCTGCACAAGTCAGTGACACAGCTTAAATTTCCTGTTCAGAAGAACATTGTTCTGTTGCTCCAAATTAATAAGAAAACAAAATGGTTCCATTGATATTGTTTGAAATTTTTTTTCATATCATATAATGCAGTGGTTCTCTGTAGCACAACCATACAAACTAACAGCATAGAATAATCTTTTATCTTACAATGACGAAGAATTAAAAATCAAAAGAATCAGAAACATTACTATTCAAAAGATAGTTCAATTTGTCACTCTCATTATACTCAGAGGACAGAATTACCAAGTTCTGAAATCTAAATGCTATCTGCAATGTGTTGCTAGTTGAAGTGTGATGCTCGCTGCAGTGATGCTCTGTCCAGGCCCCAGTCAATAAGACTGCCTCTGTCTCTGATTTCACTGCTTCAAGTAGAATAGCTGTAGTTGATGATGAATTTTGTAATAAGGCCAATCAAATGATCGAATCAGGTTCTGCCAGTCTTTCAGTCTGACCAAATAAACCATCTAATGTTCAATCATACATATAATATCAGTTTGGATTTATATGGGTATAGACTCCAGTATGGAGCTCGTCTGCTCCATACTGTACTCAATAAATGTAATTCTTTGAGCCAGTGGTTCCAGTTCCAGAAGTTTTGGTTGTTTGTGATGGTGTGGATTTAAGAAATGTGTGTGGGTGTGTGTTTGTGTGTGTGTGCGTGTGTGTGTGTGTTCACAGCCTGCTCCAGCTTGGACCACCTTCAGAGTGGGACTTTACTGTGGAGTATTCCTCGTCTTGATTGTCACTGTTGTCATTACAGGTATTACACACGCACGCAGCCACACACACACATGCACACACACGCGCACACACCTACTTTTGCACACACATTCAGACATGTTTACAATGAAAAGTTGACTCAGTTTTTACTTCATGGAATTTGATATTGCCCACAAGTTATTTTTATTGTAGGTCACATTGTTGCTTGCGGGAACATATGACTCTGACTCAATATAGACTTGCACAAATAGCTATCTTGAGTTGGGATGAAATTGATAAAAAAAAAACCTCTACAGCTGTCTGTGCACTGGCGGTGATCTTATACAAAGACCTAAATGTTCAAATCATTTACTACTCCATTGTAATCAATTATTGCTACCAGTTTTGTGTATCCTTATTTATTTTCTTAATTTTGTAAGGAAATATTAAGATCAATACCCATTTGATCTGTATTAAACAGATCAAATGACAAATTGTTTTGGAGAATATTAAGGAAATAAATAAGTCTTACTTAAGGTGAAACACTGAGTCAATCAAGAATGAATTATTTTATTAAGAAATTAAGCAAATAATATCAGCAATGACTCCCCTGGCTAGTCCAGGGAAGTGAAGTAAAGATAAAGGTACATCGCTTTTAATATCCATCAGCCGTGTTACAGAGATTGGAGCATATGGGAGAATCCCACCAGTTTCAGTGTACTTCACAACTCATGTCTTCCTTTTAGGTATTTGCACCTGCAGATTGTGACCCTGGGTGGTTCAAACCCAGTTCAGAAATACCCTCTGTTATGTGTTTCTAGCGGGCTGCTTCCAACATGAAGGGTGCTTTAAAGCTAAAATTGATTGATTGAAATAAAACAAAGTTTCACATAACAATATGCAAAGGTCAGTGATGCTTTTGCTTGGTTCTCCTTTGGTCGTAGTGTGTTATGCAGAAGTTCAACTTCCTGTCAGTCAGATCATTTATCTCACTTAACAAAGTATTCAGGTGACTTTCTGGGTTTGTTGCATATAAAATTCTGGAGTTTGTAGTATGGAGAATATTATTTATGACTGCTTTGATGCTTTTAAAGTTACATGGATGATTGAATGTCAGTTTTGATATTCATAATCTGCCAGCTTCCCAAGTCCATCTTGAAAAGGAGATTGTGAATCTCAACAAAAATTTTATCTGCTTAAATAAAGGTTATTGATATTACAAATATGTGTTCTAAAGATATCTGTAAAGCCACAACTTATAGATGGTAATAAAAAAAATAGGACCTCTGATCAGGTGTTATATTTCTTAATGTGATCCAATTAATTTAAGAATAGTTTATATCCAGATTTTAACTATGAAAATCTGATTTTCTGAATTTCATCCCTATTAATTTATACCAGATGAGAACAGTATGATTGATACCTGTCCTACTGATGAAATGAAATCACAGATATGATGATCATTTAGTGCCCATTACGTTTATAATCTAACATAAGAATGATGAATGTCAATGATCATTCTTCTATTATCTTGGTGATAAGTTTAGCAATTAAGGAAATTCAGTTCAGTTTTTTTATATAGCACCAATTCACAACAGATGTTATCTCCATGTACTGCACAAAAAACGTCAATTCAGTCGCTCATCCGTCCATCATCCAACACGCGTTTCATCCCTGAGGGGTCGGGAGAGGGGCTGGTACCCATCTCTAGCAGTCAACAGGCGAGAGGAGGGCTCACCATGAACAGGTCACCAGACCATCGCAGGCCAACACAGAGACACAGAATGTAAAGAGACTAATTAACCTGACAGTCATGTTTTTGAAGTGAGGAAGAATTGACAAATATGCATTAAAGTGTCACTGACAAAATAAAACCACTTACATTTAAAAAGATTTTCTTTTGCTTTTATTCTGTTCACAAAACCTTTTAATAAAAAATATTTCTCACAGAATACTATAAATAAATAACTTTTATGTTCATAGATGTGTTTATTACCATTCAGTGATTTGGAGGCAACAGATATCCAGCTCCAACCATTCACTGTTGGTTCCTTCCTTCCCAGAAATGTTGGAGTCATCGTTGCTTCAATATGGCTCAGAAAAACAGCAGCTCCCTCTTATTCATCACTCCATCTGACTTCAAAACTGCATATAAATTGCTCAAATCTTTCCTGAAATCCTCACAATTTCCTTCACTTTTGTGTTTACGGTTTGACTTACTCTGATTACATCACAAGACGGCGCTGGCATTTAATCCAGTTACTACAGACAAAAACGGTGACACTTTGCATTGCAGTATTCTGTGAGAAATGTTTAAAAGCTTTTATGTATACAAAGTGAAAGCACAGTAGTTCATCTTTTTAAATCATCTCAGTGGTTTTATTGTGTAAGTGACACTGTAAGCTCAGTTTATTATTTCAATTTAAAAAAGCAGAATCATAAATGTATTTATACTATAGACACAGGTTCTCTTCATTAATACTTTTACACCACAACATATTCAGTAATATGACCTCTTCTTTCTTCCTCTGCTGTTGCATCACGTTTCGTCCAACAGGAGCCGTGAAGATTAGTGGTTCTAAAGTCTGGCCTGTGGTCAGGATCTACAGAGGAGGCTTCCTGTTAATAGAGTTTCTCTTCCTTTTAGGTGAGTGCACACTGACACATAGTCACTGCATGGAATTTATAATCACTTTTTAGAATCATTTCTTTACAAATGGTTGTGCACTGAAGCCTTCCACCCCCACTTATCATGCTTTGACATGCTTTCATTTAAGTCGCTTTTATAATTGAATTTTTTGTGCCCATTTGGTTTTCTTTAATAAGGCATAGAGATGCATCAATCAGAATTTATTGACCAATTTCAAACAAATTCATATCAGAGACTTCTCTTTCAGGAAAACACTGGAAAGCTTTACTAATAGAAGAAATTATTTTCAGAAAACACTGATGTCACGTATGAGCCCAGAATTATGAATGAAAGGATATGATTCCATCTTTTTCTCATCTTTTAGGCATCAACACTTACGGCTGGAGGCAGGCAGGAGTTAATCATGTCCTCATATTTGAACTTAATCCCAGAAACAATCTCTCCCACCAACATTTGTTTGAGGTGAAAACGCTCTCTCTCTGACACATTCACACACGCACACACACACACATCTCAGTCAGTGCCTGTATTAATGCATTAGAAGAGCTGAGTTTATCTGCATGTGTTGGATTATTCACTGACTGAACCTGTCTTTATGTTCGGCTGCAGATTGCAGGCCTGTTGGGGGTGCTATGGTGCGTCAGCTTGCTGTCAAGTCTTTTCTCTGATAACATCAGGATTCCAATGCAGGCCAATCCTCTGGTTCTTTATGGCGTCTTTTTCCTGTTTCTCATCAACCCGTCAAAGACCTGTTACTACAAGTCCCGCTTCTGGCTGCTCAAGCTACTGGTAGGGACTCTCATTCACAATATAATGTCTTCTCATTGAACATTTTATTCAGCAACACAGCTATGTAGTTTTTATGATGTGTTACAGTCAAAACAAAGTTTTATTTTTCACCTTTGGGGGTCACCTGTTTAACCAATTAATCAATTACGTTTATTTGTAATGCACATTTCAGCATCAAGGCACTTCAAAGTGCTTTATACCAGAAAAACACAAAAATCAACAACTGAAACATTATATTATATCAAGTGACATTACACATGTTGGTAAGTTGGTATTATTGCTCAAAAGCAGCTCTAAGCAGATAGGTTTTTAGTCTCGATTTAAAGGAACTCAGTGTTACGGCTGTCTTGCAGTTTTCTTGAAGTTTGTTCTAGATTTGTGGTGTATAAAAGCTGAATGCTGCTTCTACATGTTTGGTTCTGGGGATGCAGAGCAGAAAAAGAACCAAAGACCTGAGAGGGAGAGGTCTGGAACAACAGCAGATATTTAATGTATTGTATTGCTAAGCTGTTCAGTGATTTATAAACTACCAACAGTATTTTAAAGTCTATTCTCTCAGTGAAGGGTAATGCAACTAAAAATGAATGGATGACATTTGTCCTTTAATCCTGGAGACGTTCTTCAGGTAGTAAAAGGTTGACTTTGTAACAGTTTAGTATCTCAAAAACACAAACAATACCTGAAGTATTTTTGCAGCTAAACAGTCTAAATTGGGTTCTTTCTTTGTTTTTCTGTACAAATTATGACATTTTCATGTTTAATTCCAAACATATTGCAAAATTAAGCAAGTAAGAGTTAATTGTTCTTACTTGAGTATATTTTTGGCTATTCTTCTGTTGTTCCATCCCTCGCTGGTTTAGTGCCAGAAATAAGCCCATTCCTCTTTCAGTAGAAGTTGGGCTCACTGTTTCTTTTTCACATATTTAAAAGAAGTCTTTATTTTCACAATAGAAAGAGAAAAGAGACATTAGACCAGAGGCAGCAGCAGGGCGATGATGCAGGGTCTGCTCAGGTAAGGAGCGATTAGAACCAGGCAACAATCTGTACTGGGTTTTTACAGATATCCAAAATATCTTTTGTCTGAATAGCTAGCATAGGCAGCATACTGTTTCCCTAAAACAGTTCGTCTCACACACAGTGTTTGTCTGATTATGCATTAACAGAAACATGCTTCAAAGATCAGACACATTCATTTCTGAGATGTTTGAGCTAAAGTTTATGCTAAGCATGAAGCGTACTCATCATTTTTTGGTAATTCATCTAAAACTTTTGTCATATTTTTTATTTTGTATTAATAAACAACTTGGTTATTTCATTTTACATAATGATTTATTTATATTAAATAAAAATCCTCTGGAGCCGGGTCTGACGGTGGCTTGTAGCTACTATAGCTGTTGGTCACAGCAGTACAGCCTGTTTAGTTAGCTTCAGTTGCTCCCAAGAAGTCACTGAAAAAAAGCAGAAGTAGAAGTCAATATATAAGTTGTATAAATGTAAAAAAAAAATTTAATGTTCAACATTCCAGTGGCTTAGCAGCAGGTAGTGTTCTCTACATCTTTGCTGTTTGCACAAATGCATTTCTTATGTATGAAGTTATTTATTAGACGCATCAGTCTTGGAATTAATAAGTTCTGATTTTGAAAATGTATGTTGTCAATATTTTTACATGGCCTTTCAGAGGATTTCATGTCCACTGATTGTTTTTTTAAATATTTTGTTATGTCACAGACCAGAAGGATATTTTTCAAGAGACAGTGAACTGGACCTGTCGCAGTGACTGTGTCCTGTCTGCCTTCCTCCACAGTTCAGAGTGGTGACCGCTCCATTTCATCATGTTGGATTTGCAGACTTCTGGCTGGCTGACCAGTTAAACTCTTTGGTGGTGGTTTTGATGGATCTGGAGTACATGATCTGTTTCTACAGCTTTGAGCTGGAGTGGACAAAAGAGGAAGGACTTTACAGTGACACAGGTGAAACGAACATAAAGGTCTCTTGGTAGAAAAATATCTGTCTGATGCTGATTGATGTGTTGTGTTCAGAAAGCGTGTGTAACACCTACTCCTATGGCGTGCGGGCGGTCATCAAGTGTCTTCCTGCGTGGTTCCGATTCGCCCAGTGTCTGCGGCGCTATCGGGACACCAAGCGAGCCTTTCCTCATCTGGTTAATGCTGGGAAGTACTCCACTTCCTTCTTTGTCGTGACTTTCTCCGCCCTCTACAGCACACACAAAAGTAAGGTGTTTACTTCTATGCATTTGGTTTTGGTAATGAGATAAATTCTTCCTACAGTCTGGAGAAACTAGAATGTCCTCAAGATCTGAAAAACTGGAAATTGTTTCTGGAAAAACAGCTTTTATTCCCTGTCCAACATCTAAATATTTTATCTGTCCTTCTCATCCAACCATCACATTGCCCATCCATCCATCCATCCATCCATCCATCCATCCATCCATCCATCATCCATCTATCCATCCATCCATCCATCATCCATCCATCATCCATCTCTATCCATCCATCATCCATCATCCATCCATCCATCATCCATCTATCCATCCATCCATCATCCATCCATCCATCCATCCATCATCCATCTATCCATCCATCCATCATCCATCCATCCATCCATCCATCCATCCATCATCCATCTATCCATCCATCCATCATCCATCCATCATCCATCTCTATCCATCCATCATCCATCCATCCATCATCCATCTATCCATCCATCCATCTCCATCCATCCATCATCCATCCATCCTCCATCCATCCGTCTCCATCCGTCATCCATCCATCCTCCATCCATCCATCATCCATCTCCATCCATCCCTCATCCATCCATCCATCCATGATCCATCCATCCATCCATCATCCATCTATCCATCTCCATCCATCCATCATCCATCCATCCTGCATCCATCCATCCATCCTCCATCCATCCATCCATCCATCCTCCCTCCATCCATCCATCTCCATCCATCATCCATCCATCCTCCATCCATCCATTCATCATCCATCTCCATCCATCCCTCATCCATCCATCCATCCATCATCCATCCATCCATCATCCATCTCCATCCATCCATCCATCATCCATCCATCCTCCATCCATCCATCATCCATCCATCCATCCATCCATCCATCCATCATCCATCCACCCATCCATCCATCCAACCATCCATCCATCTGTCCTTCCCTCCCTTGTACAGTCCAGATGACACTAGTTGACTGTCTTTGGAGCCATTTGTTTCTCCTTAATATTTGTGACTTGGTGAGTCTTTACCCCCTAACTAACTGCCAACGCCTTCCTCCACAGACTCCGAACCTGAACACAAGATCTACCTGTACTTGTACATTGCCTGTTTAATTGTAAGCTCTTGTTATACACTGATCTGGGATCTGAAGATGGACTGGGGCCTGTTTGACCGAAATGCAGGAGAGAACACCTTCCTACGGGAGGAGATAGTCTACCCGCACAAGGTGAACTTCAGCAGAGCGCGCTGGGATCTGTGTTCACTCATGTAACCATCTACTGAGGTCTGTGTCATGTCCTTTGTCTCTTCAGGCTTATTATTACTGTGCTATAGTGGAGGATGTGCTCCTGCGTTTCGCCTGGGTTTTCACAATCACTCTCACCTCGCTCACGAAGTTTCAAAAGATGGCCGACATTCTGTCTACTCTGCTGGCTCCGCTGGAGGTCTTCAGGTGCAAAAAGGATTTGTCTTCATAAAACATCTCTTCATTGTCTATTTTTTGTTTCTCTCTCATGCAAAATAGGTTACTGATTTTTCAGAAAAAGATGCAGGCATTTTTTTAAAATCCTTTATTCAACATTAATAGCATCAGTAATCGGGGACATTGAGCAATCCAATCATTATGGATCATTTTCTAATTTCCAGACGCTTCGTGTGGAATTTTTTCCGACTTGAGAACGAGCATCTGAATAACTGTGGTGAGTTCAGGGCGGTCCGAGACATCAGTGTGGCCCCTCTCAACGCCGATGACCAGACGCTGCTGGAGCAGATGATGGACCAGGAGGACGGAGTCAGGAACCGGCAGGGCAAGAAAAGCTGGAAAAGAAGCTACAGCATGAGTCTGCGCCGGCCACGGCTGGCCTCACAGTAAGCATTCGTCCCAGATAAGCATTCATCATATTCTGCAATATCATAACTATTATCTGTGTTAGTAGTGTATTCCACTCGATACATGCTTTGCTTATAGTCTTTTTCAGAATGTACCAATCAGAATATATTGGCCAATCTTCAGATTTTGTGAATTTTTGGTTTTCTGCTATAATTTCATAAATTACCTTGTTGGCAGAAGTGAGTACTACTAACGAAAAGGTTACCTCTGCTAAAACTGAAGCACTAATCATAAACATTAGTTCAACAAAAGTCATATACGTGATATCTAGCAGAAGCCAATGCCAGTACTAATTTGTAGAAGATAATGTTAAAGCATTAACTTCAGCTCTGTTGAGATGTTTTGGTGACAAAATGTGTAATATCTCCCTACACTGGACCAAACCAAGAGTGGTTGAACTGATCTTTCACGCCTAAAGGGAACAGGATTAATCTAAATAGATGTCATTTTCCTGTCATTGCCTTTATGAGCTCAGAGGTTCATACTGATGAAGAAAAGGATGGATTCTATTTGCTCAAATATTTCTTGTTGTCTTCCATGCTCTTTCAGCGAACAGATGAGACAGAGCTTTTTGTGATTATTTAACCATTGGTTAACCCTACCCTAACCCTACCTGCCATTGAAAAAAATTCTTAAAAATTAGTTTTTTATTCTGCAGCTCATGTGACCAAAACAGTTGAGGACATGAAAAGTTAAGACATCCTCAACAATTGTCTTGTACATAAGCTTTGGTTTTCTAACCCCAAGACAACTAAGTCTTCCTAAAAGATTGAGTCTCTGTGAGCATTTCTTAAAAATCCAGTCAGTGTTTTTAGCAAAGTTGTGCTGATTGTCCAGGAATGATCCAAGGCAACTTCAAAATAAGAAAATGAACATAAACATCTAACTACTTGAAAAATAGCTTAACTAAAAAACACAACGTGAAGGTTTACTACACAATGTTCAAGTAAATTTGCAGTTTAGAATTTATCTTGGAAAATTAAATGAGAGAAAGCTCAGTGTGCTACATGTTTTCAAAGTTATCTGTGCTTTAGCGAATTAGCGAAAGTGTTCAAATCACTGATTATTGGAATTTATCTATTTTTCTCTGAGGTAATGTTCCACATCTTACAGTCAGTCGCCTTGTTAGTAAAAAAAAAAAACAATTTAGACAGACAATATTACTGTTAATTAAGCTAAGTTCAGTCACAAATGGGCAGATTAATTTCCCATTATTATTCTAATAATTAGTGGTGGTAATTGTATTACTATTGTGACGGTAGCGTTGACCGTAGTGGCTTCAAATGTCTCAAGTTTTCTATGTCTCCTTTCCACCAACAGATCAAAGACTCGCGACACCAAAGTTCTGATTGAGGACACCGATGATGACTCCTGACATCAGGCCACGCCCCTCGCTTGGGTCCAGAATTTATTCAAAGGAGGAAACTCTACCTCCTAAACTAGAGATTACCCAGCGAGCGGGCGTCAAACTCAAGAACGGGACGAGGTTTGACCTCTGAATCATTTTCTCATCCACAAGCCTCTGCTGGGGTTCACAGTTATTTCAAGGAAAGAATTGTCTGCGTTTTAAAGCAGCTCTGCGGCTCCTCCACCTTCAATAAAAACTTTTCCCGACCCAGTGTGGGCATGATCCTTCCTGATGATTATCCAGCATTAAATTCCTCGATTATGACCTCTGTTCATTTGGACCAAACAGTGAGAGAAAATCTCTTCTTCCTGAACAAGAAAACTGAGACTGGCTCTTCCTCTTCCCCTCCATCATGAAGCAGCAGACTGTTCTGATCAATATATGCCAAGCCAACCACTCCGCCTGACCCCACCTCGTCATCACAAAGCTGCCTTTTGCACCTTACATGCTTTGGAAACACCAACATGCACTTTGTAGAAAAACTCATCTACTAGAGCAGTGATTCATTTCAATGTATCTGCATGTATGAGGAACCCAGGGTGACGATCAACACACTGACTATCATCAGACATGTTTGTAATCATGAGACAAACTCATTTGGTCGAGTTTATGAAAATTTTCAGAAACAATCAAGCAGAAAAAAGAGTGAAGATCTGACTGTTTGGAACAGCAGCTGGAATGAAGTTTCTTATGAAACAATTAAGATCCCACTGCCAACTTCCACTGGGAATGTGTGAAGAAATATTTTCTGTTAGAAGACAGTTCTCCTGAATGTGTGTGTGTGTGTGTGTGACTGAGAGAAATGCCCAAACACCACCTGCTAACTCAGTGTCTGTCCTCAGAAATCCAAACTGAAAGTCTAAGGGCCCAGAACAGGAAGGCTAATTGTTCTATTGTTAGCACTTGTTTAGTTGAAGTACATTAATGATGATGAAGAGGGGAGGTCACCTGTCTGTCCCACACTCATTTACACTGCCAACATGATCATAAGAGTGAAAAGATGCATTCGCTGCAGGATCATATGGCAAATGAAATCATCCAGTTTGGAATCTACCATAGAACTGGTGCTAGTGGTGAGCTGGTGCTGTCCCAACATCAGCTCATTGGGCCCAAAGAAAGTATTCAAACCCAATTTACTGTTTATGCATACCAAAGTTTTACTTTGCTTACATTTACCAATAAATAAATTATTTACCAATAATTAGCTAATTGGATCTCCCTTTATTTCTAAAGTACATTTAAAAGCATTCTATTTGAAACAAAATGCTGTCCATTAGGCGTGGAGTTAATATTAGAGTTATAGCTGTTTTTTAAAAAATTTAAAGCAGTAATGTAAAGTTTTAAGCCTGTTAAGTTGAGCAGTAATGCAGTGAGTGTAAGCAACACTGAGATTAATCACAGGTTATGTCTGAGGAACACAGGTTGTTGTCTCTGTTAAGAAATGTTCTCCACCTGAACATTTCTGCTTCAAAAGCAAGAAATCTGTGTCAGAATTCTGATGACCCGTCCACGGGTTCTGCCTCAACTCTTCATAGGTTTTAAGATGTAATCACTGTGACTGACTGATCTGTTGGTGTTTTGTTACTGAAAATCTTGGCTTTCTGTTAAAAAATTACCAGTCAGCAGTTCTGTAGTAGAAGGAGTTATCAGACACATCTTCCATGACCCAGTGTGTGCTGGACCTCACTAGGAACACCCAGAATAAGATGGAAGTAATTGGAAGTTAAACCATGGTGGAAATGTTAACTGATCTGCCTCCAAGGTGCTGCTGGGAACCTGTATACATTTGAGCTAACATGCACACTCCCATCATAGTTTTCATTTGAAGCTAGTATGTCGTCCTAATGTCACCAGCCAGGTTGTGTAAACTGAAACATCTCCTTAAGGAGTCCTGTAAGGATGAATGTTTTCTGTTTGTCAGTGAGCAGCACTGGATGCTAATGCAGTTCATGTTTTTCATGTCTTTGCAGCTCATATCGTAGCCTTTGTTCGAACACAATAGAGCAGAACCTTTAGATTCTGGTGGTACAAAGAGGCTGATGATACTTTGTGTCTAATGTTGTGGATTTCTACCTGGTTGAACATTGGAGAGCCACTTGGACTTTTGTCACACTTAGTTTCTTTACTGGTTGGTTTAACCAAGAGTGCAGAAAGGAAGATCCATGCCATTTTGATCAGAAGGAAGCTGGCATGTGAGTTGGCTCCTCCTCCTGTTGGCTGGCTGGCTCTGCTGTAGAGAGAGGATGAGGAGCTCACCTTCATATTTTCAGTAGTTACAATTAGATCATCATCATAAAAACTCTTGAGGGGTTTTGGCTGTTAATGTCAGCATTTTGGACCATATAAGTGCTGTTTAGTTTTGTGTGTGGACGTTTCCTTGTGTTTTGATGAGGGAACAGTTGCAGAGCCATAAGGTGGAGCCTCAGTGTTTCCCACTAAGGCCTGAGATAAGTGGGAAGTGATTTGAACTCAGGATATTTTCAGCATGTTTGCACCTTCACCTGCTGATTGTAAAGCATCACAGCAGCTTCATGGCTGCCTGTCACACATTCCTGCCCCTTATTGTCAATTGTACATTAACTTAAAATCTCCAGTATTTTACATTGAGAAAATGGACCAATAAGTTGACTGATCTAAATTTATTAATTCTTTCACTTAAATTGTTTCAGCTTCATTTAGGTCATGTTAAAGTTTTATAACATTCCATAGAAAGATGCATTCTGTCAAACAGCAGCCCATCATGAGTAAAGACGCTTAACACTGGCTCAGACAGATGACTTATCCTTCCTTTTTCTTCCTTCTGTTACATATTTCCCAAATCAAAGAGTCGCCCATGTCATCAAAATCCTTGAAAATGCTTGTTGTAATTTTTATTTCTTCCGTTTGTCTTCAGATACAAAGTTCACTTAGGTCTTACCATTTGGTAAAAGCAATGTTTTCTTAAGTTATGGGCCATAACATGTTTTTTAAAATGTTTTTATTTTAGAAAAGGTGTTAAAGAACTTTGATTTCAATGGTGGAATTTGCAGGACCAAACCCAAATTGTTTCAGAATGTCTTAGGAATGTCACAGTTGAAGATCTGAATCAGGAGTATGTTGCTCTATAACGACGATCCCAACCAATTCCTGGCAAGGCTCCAGAGGAGACTGGAACAATCAGAAAGCCGTGCTTTGCTTCTGCCTTCGGGGAACTCTGTGGAGTTTTCTCTGGCCTGTTCTGATAAAGAGGTCACTGTGTCAAATACATGAGTCAGAAACTGTAGAAACATGAAGAATTTAAGTTGCATGTCTGCAGAATCCTAAACTGACTTTGGACTGAGCAATAAGTCAACAGTGTTACAGTGTCAATTGTTGAGAAACAGTGCTCTGATTAATTCAATGTTCTCTGTATGCATCACTCGGCAATCAGGGTTGCTTCTGAGGTCTACTGAGCCGACTGCTTCAGGCCAACACCTTCCTCTCTGCTCCATCTGTCCCTCTGGAAGGCTTCCCCCCCATGATTTTCCAAAGTGTGACTTTTCCTTGGTTGATGAACAGACTATGGACACATCTACTAACCGGTGTCTGCTTCCAGGAAAACTTATGATGCTCTTGGTCAGTGGATGATGTTACAAACTGAATGAAAGTTACTGACAGTTTATATGTGACACTTATGACTTTCAAAGAACAGATGATTAAAAAAAAATCAACTTTCACAGCGATCAACACTTATGACATTATCGGGTTTGTTTGTCTCTGCTAACCAGTTTTTGAAAAGAACACAGACGACTTTATCCACACCCTTATCCTACTGCGCCACACTCTGGAACTCCTGATTACATCTTATATATGTGTGTAAATATATATATATAATTATGAAATGATTGAGAAGTGTATAATCAATGACTGTGGTATTGTTGTCTTGTCTGTATGTTAGCAGTGTGATGATACAGAGGTGCCTGGTTCACCAAACTGTTCCAATTTTGTAGTAAAAATGGCTAAAGTTGCAAAGAGTGGCTCTGAGTTGTCCTTTCATATGCAGGTCCTGGTCATAACAAATGTTGAAATGTCAGCAATTCCAGTCGGAAAGGGAAACTTGTATTTTATATTAATTTGTTACACACAGACTGATATATTTCAAATGTTAATTTTTTTTTTATCTTAATGACTAAAACTGATAAATGAAAACCACAAATTCTTTATCTCATAAAAATAGAATATTACTTAAGACCAATACAAAAAAAGGATTTTTGGAAATGTTGGCCACATGAAAACTATGAACATTAAAAGTATGAGCATGTGCAGCACTCAGTACAGAGTTGGGGCCCTTTTGCCCAGATTACTGCAGCAATGCGGCGTGACATGGAGTCCATCAGTCTGTGGCACTGATGGACTCTTAGGTCAGGTGCTAAGAGAGGCCAGGTTGATCTAACAGTAACCTTCTGCTCTTCTGAATTGTTGGGTCTGATGTATCACATCATCCTCCTCTTCACAATACGCCAGAGATATTTTTATGGCGTTAAGGTCAGGTGAGTTTGCTGTCCAGTTAAGAACTGGGATGCCATGGTCCTTAAACCTGGTCCAGTTTTGGTTCTGTGTGCAGGAGCTAACTCCTGTTGGAAAATGAAATCTGTATCTCAATACACCCTTATCCTGCTGCGCCACACTCTTCCTGCTGCTGACCAACTAGTCAGCAGCAGGAAGCCTGAAGTGCTCTAAAACTGGTAGGCGACTACGTTGACCTTTAACCTCAGAAAACACGGTGAACGGACACCAGCAGATGACATGGCATCTCTGTGGAAACTTTGACTGGACCTCAAGCAACGTGGGTTCTGTACCTCTCCACTCTTCCTCCAGATTCTGGCACCTTGATTTCCAAAGGAAATGAAGAATTCACTTTCGTCTGAGAACATAACTTTGGACCACTCGGCAGCAGTCCAGTCCTTTTTGTCTTTAGCCCAGCCGAGACGTTTCTGATGCTGCTTTTTGTTCAAGAGTGGCTTGACAAAGGGAATGTGACAGCTGAAACCCAGGTCCTGCATATGTCTGTCCATCCCAGTCCATCCCCTGATGGACTGGTTCTTGAAACACTGACTCCAGCTGCAGTCCACTCTCTGAATCTAACCCACATTTTTCAATGGGTTTGTTTCACAGCTTCTAACAAATCAACTTTAGTGTTCATTTGCTGCAAATATATTCATGTTTTACAACTTGCTTAGTTTACACACTAAGTTATTGAGTTATTATTGATGGATCTACAGACTGCAGAAGGCATGTAGCACCAAAAGGGGGTGGTAATGATGCAAAGCAACAAAACCTAAAGTCTGCAGTCCTTTTGTTGTTCATGTTCATTTATCATATTGAATATTTGAGCTGCTGCAGCAACAATATCTTCAGTTCAGCATCTGAGAGAGTTTGTCAGAGAAACGTGATGTCCAGTGAGGAAAGCGGGGCCATCAGCTGGACATCACCAGACAACTTGCTGCTTGCATCCAGAGCTTTATTAGATTTTATTTGACAGCCCAACATAGAGTAGAGCATGATTGTGAAATTTATATGCAAATGTTTGTTTATATCCATCCTCTTGAGCCAATACTTGGAGAACCACTTTTGGATGTGGCTGACTTTTTTTTGAAAACCAAATTTCTAAGCAGCTGTGGCTCAGACAGACTGGTTGGAGAAGATCTACAAACTTCAGTTTGAAAGTTTTTCCACAAACTCTCAGCTGGTCTTATGTTTGAACTTAGACTAAACCACCTACTTCAGAATCTTTGCCCCTTTGAGATGGAGTAAACAGTAACCACCTCTGTAAGTGATCCGGGGGTGGTTACTGTTAGCATTGTGCTGTGTGCATAGTGGTGCCACCAGTTAGTTTTCCTCCACATGTGCAAATGATTTTCAGTAATCAGTCAGCAGACGGACAGGCCTCACAGTCCTCTAAATGAAAAGTAGTCAGATGAGATATTTCAGACGCATGATCAGCATCCTCACTGGATCTCAGTCTCAAGCTGTTGTTATTGGTCTTTAAAACAAAGTTTGACACAAACTGTGTTTCACACTGACTTTAACAGAGAGAGAGGGAGAGAGAGCTATCCCCTGATGGACTGACATTGTTCTCTGGCCCAGAAACTATAAGTGACGAAGAAGAGAGATTGGCACAATGAAGATCGCAGAATGCTTCGACACAATCTGGATCATGAAGACATGATGAGGATCAGATCCCAGGTCAGTTGTCAGTTCTTCTCTTCCCTCATTCACTGCACATTTTGTTTTCGTTTTATATTTTGATACAAGCATTAATTTATAAAATATGTACAGAATCAGCCAACAGGATATTGGAAGAATGTTGGGCATAGCATAGCGTTTCTCAACGGGGGGTTCAGATGACAGCACGGGGCAATGGGATAACTTTGGGGGGCGTTTGCTCGAAGGTAAACTTTACACTTTAAATGCAAAACAACATGTTGTTTTGCATTTAAAACAATGCACATTTAGACTTTGAGCAACTTGTTAAAACTGAATTGTGTAATATTAAAACATGCCTGGTTGCAACAATATTGATGGCAGCTCTTCTTCTTGTTGTTCTCTTTAGTGTTAAGCTTCCTGCTCTGGTTGCTTTACCACATCAGTTCAGCAATACATTGGCTGATGATGCTGTCATTCACTTGTCTGGTGCCTAATTTTCAAATATTTTGTTTTATTGAAGATTTTTGTGCATATCTTTTGTGATCATGTCAAAGCAGCAACTTATATTAAAAAGTGTTTCAATGTCTGTCTGGATGCAGGACACTTCCAAAGAAGGACAATGAAATATCGTTCTTATAAACATGTAATTACTGAAATCACGATCCCCTCACCGTGTATCCCTCTGAAAAATTTACCTATATAAATAATAATAATAAATCCTCCATGCACTCATGGAGGATTTATACCACGATAGACAACATTCATTTTATATATTTAACATGGCGCTGAAAGTGATCCGGTATGAAATGGTAGCACCACAGCAGTTTTGAATTTAACTCACCAAAATACCTGAGCTAAAAGTTTTACGTCAGTCTGCTTTCCTCCTTCGATACGCTTCCAGACCGATTTGCACCGCAGGGGGTAAAGAAAAAAAAAAGGACGCGCACGTTGTGCAAAACTCTGAAACAGGAAAACCAGAATGTAGAACAGAGCAACGAGCTGGATGTGAATCAGGATCAGAGAATCCAGTGAAAAATCAATATGAGGGCAAATCAGGTGAAACATGTGATAATGAAGCGGCGCAGCAGGTGAATGACGTGATGAGTGAAGATTACTGGTGCAATAAAAACGATAAAACAAAACCAGCAACAGAAAAGAAACTAAAAAACACAGCAGTAAACCAAGAGAGGATAAAACTAATCAAAGAAAATGAAATGGAAACGAATGAAGAACAAAATGCAAGAATAAATTAATAAACTAAATACACAGGAATAAACGTGTATGGCAAGACCTTTCGAACAATAATTAACACACTCAAAAAAGTGAACTTCGGGGGTCATTACATTAAAAAAAGAATATCATGTACTTTTAACACAATAATTTCATGTTTTAAACGAAAACATTGTAAAATCATGTTTGATAATCAAGAAATTCAGTAACTTAACATTTATGAAATTTAATCATGTTGAGATAACATGGTGCTGAAATGAAGCAAAGTAATCAGGTGGAAATCCTTTCCATGATTTTTTTATGTTCATCCAAAGAATGATTTTTTTTCAGTGCAGAGGACTATATATCAAGAATAAACAGTCATTGTTTTCAGATAAATGGTAAAATAATATTGTTAAAGTGCCATGAGTTTGTTGGGACCACAGCTAGAAGAAGAAATATAACTTACAGATCATAACAGTAAGGAACTTATCACTTATATATGTTTTTAATTAGATTTTATTTTATATATTTATTTCTTCGATATTATTTTTTTATGTCAATGTTAATATCGTGAGGCTGATCAGTGACTCCATGACACTTTCATTTTCACTCATTAGGATTTGATTAAGAACCAACTTTTTTCTGTGTAATTTCTGTCCAGTATAAAACTATTAATCTATAAATCAATAGAAAGGTCTACAGATATAATCAATGTTTCTGTCTCATATTTGTGTGGAATTAGAAGTATCTGGAACTTTTACTTTTCCACTGAAAGCAGTGCACAGTAAATACCATGTGGGTGTGTCAGGTTTAACGCCTATTAAACACAGATTAAACAAACACAGGGAAGACAAAAGAGTTAAATTCCTGCTACTCGCGAGGAGAACAGACAGAGATGTGCTTTCAGTTACAATCTCCTACCGCTCTGAAAACACATTTGCCTGCTCCTCTCTTTTTATTGTTTTCAGGATCCCTAATCACAAGGATGCTGTAACTCTGAAAGGAGGGGAAAACAATTCATCATATAGCTACAGCGCTAAATGCCATTTACTAACTAAGACACAAATTATCCTTCCCTAGATAATCTCATTCCAGGCACAAAGTTTAACAGAATATGTAGTGAACCTTCACAGTGACAGTTTTATAGCAATCCAGCAACTCAACGAAGCAGAGCTCTTCACCGAGAGATAACCCTGCAGGAAAACTGTTGTCTCTGCTTTCCATCAATGAGGCCTTCTAAGAAAGGAATCAGAGCAAATCAACAATGCAGAAACATTCTTAATTCTATAATGAGATTTAACAATAAAAGCATAAAAGAAGATAATACTATAAGATTATATGAAAATAACGAATATTTGATTAATAATATCACAATTTCTCCAACAGGGTGAAATTTTGTGAATGACACTCTGATGTCCCATTCTCCTGAAGGCAGCACAGAGCTGCGCCACCAGAAACTCACAGAAATATTGGAGAGAAGAATTAGGATTGATATAGTTGCAGTTCTATCCATGTTTTAATGTTACAGAGCTGTCCTTTTGCAAATAGTTCAAAGTTTAAACTGGTATTGTTCAACATGTTTTATTTGGTCATTTTGTGTTATGTTTAAACCA